GGAGTTTGGAAAAGCTCTGTGAGCTAGAGATGGACTTGTAAGTCTGAGGGGGAGTGTAAGGGGTTGATGATGGAGGGGAGACATTAGGCTGTTGAGACCAGGAATAATGTAGACTATACAAGAAAACCTAGACTAAGAAAAGCCAGTGTGAGGTGATCCTAAAATAGGACCTCTGTGCTTGCAAAATGGCCAGTTTTCAGTATCTTAAGCAGASTGCTTCTGCTGAGCTAGCCAGGGACCTGCCGCATGAAGCTGTCGCATCTGTGTCTTCCCTTCCGATTGTCCTAATGTTTGGGGAGGCCGCGTGTGCTGAGGTCTGCTTTCCCTTAGCTTGGGAGTGCTCCCCAGCATCATGTCCGAGTAACCCTTACATCCCTTCCTGTATGAATTTCTGACCTATTGTCATTCATTTATTTATTTAKTTAGAGCTTAACAGAGGAGGATACACGTAGGCTTTGCTAAATGCAGGCCGGAGTGGCGTTGGGATCTGGGCGAGCTCCTTGGAGGCGCTTTTCCCAGCAGGAGCTAGGGCTCTGCAGAGGTCACCAGCAGGGCTGCCGTGCTCCACTGGAGCGCTCGCTGGAACGCTCTATTCTGCCCACACAAACTCGAAAAAATATACTGGCAGCTTGTGCTGCAGGAGCCTTAAACAGGAGGCACTCTTCTGGTGAGTCATCTGCAGTGCTCTTCATTGCAGGCACCTTGCTCCGCTAACAGCTTCAGCCCTTTCCGTTTTGTTGCTTTTCACCTTTATTCAGTGCTGAGGAATGACTGCATTAAAATTACTGTTGTGTGATCCTATAGAAATTAACTGGTCATGCGGTAATTGTTGTTCCACCATATTTAAGGATGTGAATTTTGTTTTTAAGGTCCCTAGTGGTCATAAGCCAAGGTGAGACTTGGCAATGCATCTTTAGATAGCACTGAAGATTCAAAATGGAGTGTAGTGCTGTGATTACATATTGGAAACTTCATCTCGGTTCTCATAACACTCCTGTATTCATTTAAATGCCTTTCTTTTCAATGACCTTTATAAGGAGGTTTTTAAAGTTTCTGTTGAAAGAAAATAAAGTATTTCTTTCTACTAGAATTGTTCCCTGTTTGAAAGAGTATCACCTTCAGACTGGAGCTTCCTAGCTTGTCCTGAAGTCTCCGAGTTCCTCTAGTTCCTGTTTCCAGACAGAGCACTAGATTTAGGAACTGTCTTTAGAGAATAGCACAGGACTTGGGCTTCTCATGTGTCAAAACAACTTTGCTTACAAGGTAAAGTTGTGCTCCCTTTCCTACCTGTGTATGTCCAGACACCGTAAAAGAAAATCWTTATTTCATGTTGCTTGTGTGAATTTGCTTGTTGCATCCAGTGACTATTGGGATATTGTTTAAACGATCAAAGGGTGATGCCCTTCCCTGGAATTATTTACTTGAAATGCATTATTTACTAGGTTATTTTTATAGACTTTCTGTCACTAGCTGTATCTATCAGTAAGTGCAGTTCTCAGATGTGTATAGCATTACTTCTCCATTAATATCGGAAATTTAGGCTTGCTATGTGTCTTCGGAAGTATTCTTTATATAGTGAGAAATACTAGTTATATTGTCTGCAAGGCTGTTATAAGGAAAAGAGTACTTAGAAATAATTGTGTCTGTCTTGAGATAGTGTTCATATTCCTTTCTTCTGAACTTTTCTCTCTGAGGGATTTTGGAATTTGTGAGCAGAAAAGAATGGATCTACGTGATAATGGGTAAGTTTTATGGTGTGTGGCAGGTGTAAGTTGTGAGCCCGTCCCGTGTAGCGTGTCCTGCGGCTTGGGCCCCTTTGGAGCTGCCCCCCGGGCTGGGGCTGAGGCTGCACTGGGCCCCCTGAGCCCGAGAGACCAGGTCGCTGCCTCCCTTGGGCTCGGGCAATGGCAGACAGCAGCGTTTGACTCGACACCGTGCCAAGGCTTAGCCCTTSAGGCTTGTAGCTTCCCGTATACGCTCCAGCAGGGCGCATCCAGCCATCTCGGCAGTTATTGCTGAAATAAACACTTTCAGCGGCTGAACTTTTAATATAAACATCCAAAGAAATGGCTTAAATACAGTCCTCATCCTCCCTTGCAGCTGGAGCTGCGTGTTTGATGAAAATACCATCCTCAGCTGAAGCTCTCCTGCGTGTGCCTGGAGCAGCCTGGTGCCGCGGTGGRAAGAAGCAGCGCGGCCCAGGCTGCCGCTGCCCTTTCCCAGCTCCCSCCTTGCACGGGAGCCCGTGTTCGTGTCCTCAGCCACGCTGAGGGGTGCCTGGTGCTTGTCCTTCTTCCAATTCCCTTTAATCTGGCTCAGCCCCTTGGGCTGCCCCGCTGAGCAGCCGCACGGAGGGCGGGCATTGCCCCGCGCCAGCGGCTGGTCCGCGTGGGAAGAGGCCGAGATGCCTTCCTCTGGGTGCAGTACTGATTTAGGCCCATTTTGTGTCGTAGGGGAATTATAGCAGTGMAGTGTCCGTATTTCCAAGTTAGCAGAGCTTGCTAGGGGGAGAAAAAGAAATAGTACTTGTTTTAGTACTTAAAACAAGCAAACAAAAGACTCTTGCAGCCCCCAGACCAGTTCTCCAGCCTGTGCATAGGTGGCTGCTTTCTTGTTTGTATGTGTGGAGAAATGCCCATCGCCACCTAGACAAGGAGTGGATGGGTTTATGTGCCTGTGTGTTGCTTCATTTGGTTTATCTCTAGAGCAGTAATTCACTGCTTGGCAGGGTACTGAGAGGACCCTGCCCTCTGCAGCCCGCCGTGGGCAGGGAAGGGCTTCAATAATCGGGTCTCTCTGGTCAGTGCTAAATGAAGCCCTTTAGAGGAAGGAACCATCCAAACAGGCGTGCAGAATCTCTCTCCTTCCTGCCTGCCCSTTAGTGGTCCGAGCTGATGTGCCACCGTGTCACTGAATGGCCCCCCTGGCCTTGCTCGTGCTAGCCTTGCATCCTGCTTTTCACAAGGAGCAGAGATTGTGGGTTGGTTGGTTTGTAGGGTTTTTATTTATATTTTTTCTTATCCCCCTTCACCTCTTTGATATTTTAACTTGTAAGAACTGTTTGTCCATGTTTTGGAGCTGTCGTAATGTGAAAATACTGAAATAATGAACTTCATAGACTCCTGGTTTTGGAATAAGCCTTGTGTCTGTTTTTCTGGGGATATAGTGTATCTTACAGTATTTAGACTACTTTAAAGTGAGTAGAATTCTTTTTTTAGTTGAAAAGAGATTGTTATGAAAACATTAATATAACTTCCAGGAGAGGGGGGGGGAAAAAAACACATCTTGAATCGATTAATTCACTTTGGAGTTTTTGGTGGAATTAAATTTCTTTTTTTTTTTTTTTTAATTAGTGCAAAATAACCACGGGCATTACTACATTACTACTTCCTAAAAATCAGGATGGCTTTGGGGCCTTTTCAGAAGTAACTTKTACTCTGCCAATGTTAGTGGTGCAACAGGGAATGTGTTGAGCTGCAAGTCTACTGCACTTTCATTTGAGCAAGTAGGAAATCATTAGATTGCCTGACACTGGTTGGTCTSACACTTCAGGAAAAGTGTCCCTGCCCTTTTCAGACTTGGCATTAGCCAAAATACTTAGTGTGCAGACCCTTTGCCACCTGTGCTCAGAAAAAMCAGGGCATTTCTGGTTACCTGGCGTGCAATCCCAAACGGCAGTTTGAGGTGTGTCCTTGGAGGCCCCAGTGGCCTGACATTGTATRTAGTGCTCATTGAGATGGATTGTGCAAACTTTGCATCCCCTTTGTTCTGTGAAGACTTTTCCTCTGAAGCAAATATAATAGAGCTTGTTGCCTTATGTATTGTAGGCTTGCTAGTGACATAATAGAGAAGAAGAAACTGATATGCAATAGATGTTGAAGTTGCAGAAACAAAATTCTCTTGCCTTTGGTTTAATTTTAAATTTATGCCAAGATTCTGTACGTGCAACTCTGTTTCCTAGAAGGGAACTTATTTTTATGGAGCTGTTTGGTAGTCCTAGGGCCTGACTTAAAGGGCATTTTAGCTTTAGTGCTTCTCAGATGAGTAGAAATGGAAAATGCTTGGTACTTTTCTGCCATTCCTTTGAAGTTTCTGCCTAGGAAAATTAGCTTCTAATATTCACTAGTGCTTGAATGTGACTTGTCAACCTCGTAGTGTTTATTCCTGTAAATGCATATATTATTTTTTTTYCCGTTTACATATAAATCTGCAGCATAACTTAATGTTTTCTGTTCCCTTACTACTGTTCTCGGGTTGAGAAGAAAGTTAGCCCTCTGTTCCTGCTATAATTCTGGTACTGATGTGGGCACATGCTGTTAAATCCCTAAACCGCTCTTGGATTTCTACAAAACAATGTGCTTATTATTTTTAGGGAAGTGCTCACATACTCTTTTCAATGTGCAACTTGTATGCCACTTGCTCTCCCATTTTTAGAATCCTGGTTCACGTCCGTCTTGCTTCACAATCGTGTTCCATCCTGGTGGCAAGTGCAGCAGTTGCTTACCTGGAAAAGTAATATTAGAGAAGTGGGTATTTTTAGCTGCCTTTTGATGCGAGGTGGCAGCTGGGAACAAGGAGGAGAGGCAGCGTGAGGTGATCTCGTGGCATTGCCAACCACAGCCTGGGAGCCACCGCCTTGGGCTGGAGACCACGACGTGTGGGAACCTCCTGCAGGTCGGAGTGAGGCCCCAGTGCCTGGCACTTGGACCCAGGTGCTGCCTGCAGCAGCGCTGCCCTTCCTCAAGGGCTTCCTTCCCTGCTCCTCCCCTGGGTTCTGTCTCCCAAATGTAGTGATGGAGCTTAAAAAAAAAAAAAAACAAAAAACCTTTTATTTTTACTAATAAATAGAGCAAATATAAAATGAGTAGGCTGTTCTATGTGCATGTTTAAAATGTAATTGATTTTAAAAGCCCTTTGATATCCACGATAAATTTTAAATGTCTGAATGAAAAGGTACTCTAACAACTTACCATAATACTCTTTTTTTCCTCTTTTTTTAGCAGTCATGTTGTCCATGGCTCAGAGACGGAACCTGGCAGGCCCATGGTGAGGTGTATTCTCAAGACAAGATACAGTGACTCACATGCCTTGCTGGGTAAGAGGGGTATCTGTATTCTCTTGAGTGTCACCAAAGAGTAGTTACGCTTTACATTTAAACTTTTGGAAAGCGCAAGCTCTGTCCTCTTCCAAATCTGGGGAATTGGAGGGGGAAGGAGGTTGGTGTGTCTGTTGGATTCTTGGGTGAATTAAATGACTTCCAACCTTTATAGCAGTCTAAAGACATTCCAAACTAATTGTCCAAACTGCAGTAGTGAAAAACTTAAGAATTAAATTTTATATTAAATTGTTTGCAATTGTGTCATCGGAAATGCAGCTCTGGTTGATTATCTCCAAGATATTTGCTGCTTCTAGCCTGATTGTCCCAGGAAACGAAGGTTCTGTCTTTGTTATCTCATATCTTTTTCCCTTATGTCCCTCAGCCCCAAAATGCTAAATCTCTTTGCTAGTTTACTGCTGAATTGGACAGCATTAGTAGGTGTTGCAGAAAATAACTTAAACTGATATCTCAGTGGCTGGGTAGCAGAGAATAAACAAATGGATGTTCCCCTTTAAAAAAAAAAAAAAAAAAAAGATAAAACTTGGTCCATGTGGATGTGGCATCAGACACCACAGCCTGGTGGTGGCTGTGGTGGGGTGAAGGGCTACAGGGCTCCCGTGGGTCGGTAGGAGATGTGGCTGAGCCCACTCTGCAGCTCTGAGCAATGTAGTCTCTCCATGTTGTCCCAGCTTGGCCTGGAGTGGTTAAAGAAAAGTCTAATTTAGGAATATTTCTTAGTTGGAAGGAAATTCCTTATGTCTCTACACAATCCCGCTTTTGCATCTGCACAGCACTCTAAGGTCTTTTAAATATAACGCTTCTACTTGAGGGTTTTTCTTTGTCTAAAACTTATTTCAAATATTGTCTCCCTTTTAATACCTTAGTGCCTGTTGCTCACATTATTATTAGCACTGTGTTCTAGGTAACCTTTACCAGCAATCTCCAGAGAATGTGAAGTTTGACTTTTCCCCCTTCTCCTTTTATCTGCTTATCTGATCCACCCTAAAGTCTTAAAGCTTTATTTTATATTGTTAGATATAGATACCTGCCTTGCTGCTTTTATTGGGGTACCTGAAGAGGGAGGGAGGAGGAAGAATTAAAACCAACATTTTTTTTGCTCTTGCTTTCTGCTCTCATAACGGCTTCTTGGTGGTTCACCTTCGTGATCCCTTTATCGGGATGCTTACGTCAGCTGACTTTTTCTCAATAGATACTGATAAATCCTAGGCTTATGGTTGTGCTTCTGCCTTGAAGGACTTCTGGACAGGGTCTCTGGGGTCCTGCCTCCCTGTTTATCCTCCCCCCCATAATCTCGTGAGACCCAGAGGGCTTGGTCTCTGCATTAGGTATTCCCTAGCTGTGTGCAGAGGAGGACTGCAGCAGCAGGGGAATGTTTCTTCAAAATAATACCTATCTCTAAAACATAGTTTCTGTTAAGAGTTAAATAAGGTGACATGTCTTAATCCTTTATCAGTTTAGCACTTTCCTCAGAATTTAATTAGGTCGAATTTGGCTTGGCACTGCTTGACTTTTAGTGTGGAATTAGCCTGTTTCTGTGTGTCCTGGGGCAGTCCTGTATTTTGGCAGCCTTGTTCAAATTGCCAAACTTGATTTCTAAAGTAGCAGTCACGAAACACCCAGGGCTGATGTTTTTATCATTCCACTATATCTTTGTGAATCACTGTGGTCGTGTCTCTGCTGCAGAACTGCTTTTGCTTTTTAAAAGCTCTGGCTAAAGATAGCAACTCCCCGGACTCTTTTACACTTTCATGACTTACCAAGAAGTAACTACCACTCTCTTTTTTTTCTTTTGTATTTCTATCTATGGCTTTTAATAATGTATAATAAAGATTTCCTGGTATCTTGCTGTCTTGGATCTCCTCCTTTTTTTCTGCCTTTCCTCCTGTCAAATGTCTCCTTTGTGGTACTTTCTACCCCACCTTCTTGTCAGGTATAGCTTGAAACTTACTTGACCTGTTTGCTGTAGTTTTCACTTTTAGATGGTGAATAGGGAGGTTTCCAGCAAATTTGTTGGGTTTCACTAACTGCTCTCACAGTTTGARGTGCTCTGAATTGTTCTTTTTCAGGTCTTGTTTTACTGCTGCTSGTTGGAAGCTCATTAGGGAGCCATGCTGTACATATGGCACCTAAAAAGAAGAGCTTGTGACTGTGTAATCCAGAGTGTCTATCAAATACAAACGTTGCAGTCCTAATTATGTTTATAATGATCCTGTAGAGTAATGGCAGAGTCTCTTTAGTTTGGGAGATCACAAACGTCTTGCACTTTCTTCTTGCTGGCTTTCTAAGTCTCCAAATAATGTGATGTGATGCATGTTGATGCTACATAACTGCACAAAGACTAGGGTGCTTTTTTCAAAGGCAGGTTCAATTAAGACTGTGTGTCCATAACTTAATTGATAACTGAAGATGTATTCTTGCTTTTAAAAGTTGTATTTTAATAGTTGTTCTCCTCTTGAATTTAGATAATCTAATCCATGGATAAAGTGGGAAAGATGTGGAACAATTTCAAATACAGATGCCAGAACCTCTTCGGTCATGAAGGTGGAAGCCAAAATGAAAACATAGTTGTGAGCTCCAATAGCTGTTCATCAGTTAAAGAGAAAGCTGTCCAGATAACTGATGTGGCTCAGCAACAACCCAGCAGCCCTTTGAGAGAAAACATTGCTCTGCAGTTAGGCTTGAGCCCCTCAAAGAATTCCTCAAGGCGCAACCCAAACTGTGTCACCGAAATTCCTCAGATAGTCGAAATAAGCATCGAGAAGGAGAATGACTCGTGTGTCACCACAGGAGCTAGGCTTGCTCGAAGGGACTCCTACTCTCGGCATGCTCCTTGGGGTGGGAAGAAGAAACATTCCTGCTCTACCAAAACCCAGAGCTCCTTGGATACGGAGAAGAGGTTTGGCAGAACGCGAAGCGGGTTGCAGAGGAGGGAGAGGAGGTATGGGGTGAGTTCCGTCCACGATATGGATACGGTGTCAAACAGGACAGTAGGCAGCCGGTCTCTGCGACAGCGGCTACAAGACACTGTTGGTCTGTGTTTTCCCATGCGAACTTACAGCAAACAGTCCAAACCTCTGTTCTCTAACAAGAGAAAAATCCATCTCTCTGAACTAATGCTTGAGAAATGCCCTTTTCCTGCAGGCTCAGATCTGGCTCAGAAGTGGCATCTCATTAAGCAGCACACGGCTCCCGTGAGTCCCCATTCAACCTTTTTTGATACGTTTGATCCTTCCTTGGTCTCTACAGAAGACGAAGAGGACAGACTCAGAGAGAGACGTAGACTTAGTATCGAAGAAGGGGTTGACCCCCCTCCCAATGCCCAAATACACACTTTTGAAGCTACAGCACAGGTTAATCCATTGTATAAACTAGGACCAAAGTTAGCCCCCGGTATGACTGAGCTGACCGGGGACAAAAACGTGCCACCAGCAGGAGCGTGCGACTCGGAAGAGGACACGACGACGCTCTGCCTGCAGTCGCGCCGGCAGAAGCAGCGCCAGGCGTCCGGAGATGCCCACGGCCACGTGGGCAGGCAGGGCGCGTGGAAGGTGCACACGCAGATCGACTACATCCACTGCCTCGTGCCGGACCTGCTCCAGATCACGGGCAACCCCTGCTACTGGGGCGTCATGGACCGCTACGAAGCCGAGGCGCTGCTGGAGGGCAAGCCCGAGGGCACCTTCTTGCTCAGGGACTCGGCGCAGGAGGACTACCTCTTCTCGGTGAGCTTCCGCCGCTACAACCGCTCGCTGCACGCGCGCATCGAGCAGTGGAACCACAACTTCAGCTTCGACGCCCACGACCCCTGCGTGTTCCACTCCTCCACGGTCACGGGGCTCCTGGAGCACTACAAGGACCCCAGCTCCTGCATGTTCTTTGAACCCTTGCTTACTGTCTCCCTGAACAGGACCTTCCCTTTCAGCCTGCAGTATATCTGCCGGGCGGTGATCTGCAGGTGCACCACGTACGACGGGATCGACGACCTCCCGTTGCCTTCCATGTTGCAAGACTTTCTAAAGGAGTATCACTATAAGCAAAAAGTCAGGGTGCGGTGGCTGGAGCGGGAACCCATTAAAACGAAGTGAAAGGAACCCCGAGTCCCCCATAAGCTCACAGAATACGCTTATTTTTTTGTGTGTGTGTGTGTTACAGTTTAACTGCGGCAAGTGCACCGACAACGTCTAGCTTTTTTGCAATATTCTATTTAAGCTCAGTGTTAGTATCCTGTCAGATGCTGCCTGCTGTTAATCAGACTAAATTGTGATGCCTCTTGGAAACAATAAGCAGACACAACTCTGCACGTTTTTCATTTAGGCCTAATTAAAGTATTTTTGCTAATTTCTGAATATTTTGTTTCCCTTTTATAGCTGTAGTAATTGGATGAAGAAACTATGAGGCATTTTCCATGGGGCATTCATGYTAGGCTCATAAAGACGTTATTAGAGGAGCGTTTTTGCTAATATCTGAAGTATTTTTTTAAAGAACCTTCTCACAACCTCCCCGCTACTCAAAGTACTAATTTAGCTCATAAATATAAATTTCCAGAAAATAGTGAAAAAGAGTATTTTCTTTTGCAAAACGAATACCAGTTCATTAGAAGCAGGGATGTCCTGCAGTCCACTAAGACTTGGTGGGGTTTTAATGCTAATGAATGAATCGTGCTCTTCTCATTGTATAAAGTTTTCTAATCACAAAGACTTGAATATGCCTGCTCAGTACTGTAATTCTGSTTAAAACACTTGGAGATTTAAGTGGCATTGTTAGTAAAAGGAACACTGTCGTGGACAGTTTAATACCTTGCAGTGTGAACGATTGATTTAGGTGGCAGAACACAGAATTAGAGTATTGCCGTGAAAAAAAAGGCTGTAGCTTTCTTCTAAAAGAGAAATCGGGTGGCCTGACTACTTGTAATTTACGATTGAAGATAATGGTGAAGAGAAAGTGTTTAATTATTTAAAGTCGTTTAATATTTTTATGGAGAAAGTTACCAGTGGTTGAATTATTATAATCGGGATACAAAACCTGTCAGGTGTCTGAAGCACAYGTCAGGTTTCAAAGGTACTGCTACACTTTATTTGTAAATATTTTTTTGCCATTAGCGCTTTTTAAAATGTCTTTGAAATAATATGCACTGATCATAGTTTCAACAAGTGACTTAGAAACAAAATTCTAAGTTGTCTTTGCTTATTTAATCAGAGATGGGACGTCYGACGGTTCTGTCTAGACACATTTGCACTAAAAATTTGTTGGAATGCCCTGTCCCCTGTTGATGTTTTGTACCAATTTTGGGTGCTCCCTAGTTTCTTTACCAGCTGCTACAGTGTGTAATAACTTACTTCTCCCTGGCGGTGACCTGTGCGAGGTAGGGAACACTTTGGCTGCAAGTACAATAAACGTTATTCTTGTACGCTACACTAACCCTTCTCTTGATGTATTTTTCTGCTTGCTGTGCCTTGTTCTGGCTTCTCGTGCTAATAAAGTACAGTATGTTCAGTGTTACGCTTGTATATCTGCTCTGTTTTTATATATTCACCTAACTTGTAGCGGTTAACTGCATTTTTCATAGGCTTTCCTAGCACTTAGTGCAGTTGGGTAGCAGTTGTGGAGCGCGCCGCGTTCCTGCTCGGTGTCGCACCACTCGTTGGAGATGTCGCCATATGCACCACCCAGTGATGTTCCTGTGACCCCTGCAAAGCTACGGACTTGTCTGCGGGCCCAGAACGTGTGCCAGTTTTGGCAGTGTAAAGGATAAATATCRGGGAAAAATATTTCAGAACATTATGGATGTCCTGCAGTGGTTGCTGAAAGTGTTTCAGCCCGTTCATGGGTAAGCCTAACACTTTGACACTGAGATAGGAATGGTTATTAACGCCTGTAAATTGGCAGTACAGCTGTGGCATTTGTTCACTTTTAGACTATTTTTAATGAGTACGTATATACAAATTGGTCAAATACCCTGTTTTTACCAAAGAATACTGTCAATTTATGTTGGGATATTTTTTTAGCAGAAAAGTTTGAGTGGAGAAGTGCAATCCCTGCTCTATCAAATGTTTATCCCAAATTATGATATACCAAAGCATTTGAGAACTGCATGTGAAACCTAAGCAATATATTCAATTATGTCGGTAGGGCTAAGACCTTTAATGTCAACAATGTCATCGTTTCTCTRGAGTTCACAGTGCACCTGAAGAGAAGTGATTGAAATAATTCTGTAATGACTGGAACAGCACTACTATGTAGACGCTTTTACTGAAAGGAGTTAATTTGGAGCACCCTGAAAGCACTTTAAAAACATATGTTAATATGCTTGTGGAAACTCTGTGATCCCTTTATGCCTTCTCTGTAGTAGCTTCTCTCCCATGTGTTTAAATACTTCAACTGTTAAACTGAAGCTTTGTTCCGAATGTGTAACTACTTATCACTAAGTTTCTGTAAGTTTGTGTACAAACGGTCACTCAAGTTCTGAATTGTGTGTCTYGTTGGATATGCAACTCCTGGTTTAAACTCGGCTCTAAGCATAGCTGCTTACATTAAAAAAAGGAAGAAAACAAATCAYCCGCATGGACTTGCACCCAAGTGTACCTTCACTGTGTCCTTCTCMGCTGGATTTCAAGCCCAGATGAGTTTGCTCTATAGCTGGTTCCTAATAATGGCATTTCACAGGCAACTCGCAGCCAAGCTTTGTCTCGGTGTAAGGATCTGGTTTTGTTTGCACCTGTTGCTCTTGCTTGTCATAAACCGGCCGGTGAGAGTCGAGCCGTAACAACGTCAATGCAGTCGGGTTACGCAGTCAGGGATGTTTTTACCTCGGGAAGCTTCAGGGGGAGGAGGGAAACCATCGTTTTGGAGAGTTGGCCCTTGCGTTTGTGTAAACGGAGTCTTGGCTGAGAGGGTCCCTTAAAACACAAAACCATTTCACAACGGCCTGTTTCAGATGATGTTTTAAAAAGCTTTGTTCACCTGAAATATGCAGGAGAGTCGCTTGCTAATGTGCTTAGCCTAGAAATCCTATCAGGCTTTCTTAATTGCAGTAGCCTTGAGTGGTGGCTGATGGAGTTGCAATGCCAATATTTATGCAGTGCTTTCATTTATCTTCAGCTTTAAAGGCACTAAAACTTTGGTAAGTTGAGAATGTAGTTATTAAACTGCTTCCTTCTGTTTGTGGGGCATACTTCACCATTCTGTGTTTTTTCTTTAAAAGTATTTTGTAAATGTCCTTCAAAAGATGTGCACAAAACTGATTTGATTTCTCAACGATAAGTTTCAGCTTAGTAAGGTAGACTGGCATGTTTCAAACCTGATTAAGGTGCAAATAGTTGTCTGTTATGTAATCTTAAATAATTTTTTGGAAGTGCTTCTCATTTGTGCCAAAATCTATAGAAAGCATTTTCTCTAGAGGACTTTTTTATTTTTTTTTTAAACAAGATCTTGCAAAGGTCTTTGACCATACTTGAAAATGGCATGATAAATTATGTAGGAATTAAGTTCTTTAAATACTGAGCAGAGCTCAGTTGTGGTGTTGCACATAAATACAAACACCCTAACAATTCAGGAAGCCAGCAGCAGCTCTAGTGCATTTTACCAAGAGATAGAAATTGAGAACTGTAGCTTCCATATTGCATGTTACCTAACACTGAAAAATTGTATAAATAGAATACTGTCAGAAATTCATTGAAATCTAGTGCTTAGAGTTTATATTYTACTATGCAACTGGATCATCATTTATAGAACGCTGTTAGAATAAAAAAGACATTACATTCTAATATTTTWAGATTTTTTTTTCCTAGTCCTCTTGGAGTTAGGGAGGAATTTTCTTATATATAAGGTATTGTGTAGTTTTCCCCTTTACTACCTTATCTTTCTCTTCCCCTCCCTCCCTCTCTTTTAAAGGCTTAACTAAAGGCTCTTAAGGACATTTAGACAYAAGTGATCTGAATAACTTGCTTTTATGAGAATGAAGCTTTTCATGAGAAARAAGAAGTCACAAAGCCATATTTTGCATTTTTGTATTACTAACTTTGAATATGCTGAAGGCTTTTTTGCACTTATGAAAGCAAGTGATAAATGTTTAGAACCATTATTAACTTAATGGGTTGAAATTTAACATGCTTCAACGTTTATTTCCCAGGCTTCCATTAAATAACCTCCTTACTATAGTTACTACGTACTGCCACCGTAAATAGCTTTTCCTAAAATACAGTATTTTTTTATAGAAAATACCCACTTGCATTGTCAATAATAGCTCTTCATCAGGGAKGATGAAGATTCAAATATTTAAGACCTAAAATAAGATTCAAAGAGGCTGAATGTTGCTTACAGTAGATGACAAGGTGAATCATATGCAAGGGGAATTTTAAAAAGCAACAATTGTTAGAGAAGAAGCCTTTGGTCTTGGAAAGCCCTGAGTTTTAGTGTTAGATAAGCCAAGTTCCAGCTCTYGCTCACAGTTGTGCTGGTGACACATCCACTCCTGTCATCAGGAATGTGTTTAGCTTTGCTTGTGTGCTCCATGGAAGCAAGCAGAGTTTCTGAGCTGGATCCACAGCTGCTTTGCTCTGTTCTCCTGGTCGGTGCMGGCCGGATTTCCAAGCACCGCTTACAGGGTGCTCCGTGCATCAGAGCTGCCTCCGCTGCAAAGCGGTGCCTAGGACTAAGGCTGCAAGGCTGCGAGCAGGGCTAGGAGGGGCTGAGTGCCGCATGGGAGGGAGGATCTGCACGGTGCCTTGCCCCTTTCTATGTCAAAACTATCCSAAAATACAATGTTTAGCAGAAATATTAATTGCAACATTTGGTGTCTGTAAGCCTATTACTTGAATTTCCTGATTCCTCCTCCTAAAGTGAATATTTGATGTTTCACATTGAAGCTATTCAAATTTAAAATAATAAAATTGTTCTTCAAGGCTAGTTTTCCTAAAGTATTATGGTGAAATTATATGTGCCAAGTCTGAGAATCTACAAGCTCCTGAGATGCCTCTAAGCACATGTGCGTTTACAGGTGTTTTTGAAGCCAGCTGATGTACCCCAATATGGTGAGATTTAATATACTGGAGTATAAAAAAATTGCTCTGAGCATTGTTCTGTTTGCGCACATTGCAGGTAGAAGAACTCTTTTCTTTGCATCTTAGCTGTAGTTATGCATTATAGCTAGTTGCTTGGTGTATATATCTTGCTGCTATGGCCAAACGTACCTGAACAGCTTTGTATTTTGACTCTAAGGGAATATTTTATTTATAGTTATTTTTTAAAAAACTTACAATAGGGACAAACTAAATCCATTGGATTTTTAAGCGTTTAATACGTATCAAATATGCTGACATTGCCAATGTCTCCCTTTTCCCAATAATGGGATATGCGGAGAACCACTTATCTTCTGACTATCTACCAAATGCAGTTGGTATTGAAGGTCTGAATTATGTAGCGTTTTTTAGATTTTTTTTTAATTTAAAATRCTACTGTTGAGGGTTTCGAAAAGAGAAAAATGTATTTTTTTTTTGTCAAAAGATTTATTAAGCAAGTGTTTCGTGATGAGTTAAGGACTTTCGGTATTCCAGGAACAGCTAACCCCATTGTACAACTGTGATGCCTAAAAGACTCCTAAAAGCAAAACAGGAACTCCTGATGATTTTAACCATATAGTTCTTYCAAGATGCAAATTTTTAAAACTAGGTTATTTCAATGAAGCATTGCTGTTAATTTTAAAAAATAATTAAAAAAGTATATTTATTGGGCGCTAACCCCAAAATATTTCTTAGTTCAGTGGTATATAGGAACTATTGTATATACCCTTCAAGCTGAATGAATGCTGGCTTTGTAAACTTGCATAAAAATACAGCTGTTATCAGATAGGTTTCTTAGGGCCAACACAGTGTCTCTCTTACGGGCTGAAGCTCCTGGTGCTTGACTTCTTTGCTAGTTTTCAGCAGAAATAACCCCTGATTGTATGGCACTGATGTAGCTCTTGATACAAATGTACTTTTTAAGTACATTTGTACACTGACAAGTGGAAACATATCTTGACTTCTTTGTCTGAAGTAAAGCAACTTGTGGGCTTCTCAGCAAGARATACAGCTTGGTGGCAAGTGGGGAAAGAGGAAGGAACATTAATTTTTGCTCTTTAGTGAGAAGGTGTTTACTGAACGTTGTGTGATTTTCCTGTGTGATAAGGGAGATTTAAGTTTTAGTATCCTGGGAGTTTGATCAGCTCTCTGAAAGGTACAAAAGCATTTGGCTGCTTTGTCGCTTCTTGCTTCCCTGCCTGTAGCTTTGCAGAAGCGTGAAGAGATGTATTTGTTAAAATCCACTCTCTGTAGTCACTGACAATACAAGCATTGCTTTGTAAGACCTTCACAGATAGTAAATTCTTAYGTAAATTCTTATAATTAAGCTGTTTTGGGAGAATGAGTAATGACACTGTGGGCACAAAGTAATTCASATTGCACTGAAAACCTTCTTACCAGAAGCCTTCATCCTTGCAGAACGATTTGGTCACTGCCCAGAGAGGGGGACAGGGAAAAATCCCTTGGTGGTGCAGGCCAAAGGAGAGGCGCCCGGACAGTGTTTGGATCTTTTCCGACATTCCTTGGGAGCGGAGTTGGCCCTTGGCAGCCCCGGGGCCGCTCGAGGAGCGGGCGCCGCTCAAGCGCCAGGGCCTGCGGGCGGCCGCCGCCTCCAAGGCTCGGCCTTGGTCCCGGCCTTGCGGCCTGCGCGGTCCTTCTCCCCTGCCCTAATCTGCCGTGCCCTAATTCGTCTTTGTTCACTGATTGCCGAGCTGTCTTGCAGCTTAATACAGTAAGGAACAGAAAACGTGATTTATGGCTACCCAAGCAGTGTATTTAGTAATAGATGGCCTCTGTCTTAATAAATGGGGTATAAATGAGCATATTGCTTTCTTTTTATGTTTGCTTGGGAGCAAGGGGTTGCGTAAGGAGATTGTTTTGAAGCCAAGCTGTAAATATGTATATTGTTACAGAAGCCTAGTTACTGTACACATGAAAGGGAGAGTTTTCGTCAGTTACTTATCAATAGCTCGTGTTTATCCCAGTCCATTCTTTCCTTGCATCTGAAATGCATCAGCAAAGATCCCAAGATACCGAAAGATCAGTAATTATTCTTCTTACGAGTTTTATCTCAATTTGAATTCCAGCAAGTTATTGAGTGACTTTTCAGAGGGGTCATAAGTTTGTCCCTCTCCCCCAACCSTTGTGGGCTGAGCACATGTGATGTTGTTATGTGATGTGTGCGATCTGGAGGAGAGCCCCAATTAGCACAAATGAGGTGCTAAGTAGACGTGGCACAAGTAGAGGTAGCTGTTTTCCTTCAAACAGAGCCGCTCTCCTCACCC